CACACCGTACAGTCAAACACAATGTAACACAACACAACGTGCAGTTAACACACACAAACACAATGTTACACAACACAACGTGCAGTTAACACACACAAACACAATGTTACACAACACAACGTGCAGTTAACACACACAAACACAATGTTACACAACACAAAGTTACACAACACAACGTGCATGTGGAACTAAAGATGAAGGACGTGCTCAGTGGATGAGATTAAATTAGGATGAACAAAATCACTGTTTGTAATCTTTGTTACATCATCATTTCTTTACAGCATCAAGCACCACATTTAAACAATCGACACAAAATGTAATAATATTATTACTTAAAATACCTGACAAGATTACAAAATACATTTAAGACTTTATTTCATTTAGTATCTGTTACTACATAATGTGGTTTTAATGCAGTTTTATTACATTTTGAAGCCTGACTTTATTACCTTATTAAGTATTGTRACATTATTATAACGCAGCTTTACAACAAGATAAAAACTTTAAAAATAATCAAACTAGAAAAATCAAAGTTTCACAGTAGAAAGTATTTGTTCTGTCCACTGTGTACTGGAACATGAGTTAGTCTGACTGCAGTTAAGCAGCTGATGTTTTTTTTAAGTTAAACAAGTAGCATTAGAGAGAGAAAAAATCTTAGTGGTTTAATTAATTTGATTGGTTTGTTCAGTCCAGACTGATCAGTTTGATTGGTTTGATTGGTTTGATTGGTAAATGTTAGTTTTTCCTTTTGGTTTGGTCTTAAATGTCTGAACCAATCATTTTATTAGTCTGGTTCATTGGTCCGGTTCAGGTAAAACTGTCTGTTAAAACAACAGTTATTTGCTCTGTTCGTTCCAAGCTAACTGGTTTGATCACTCAAGGTTATTCAGACCACTGGGACCAGAATAACTGGTTTGATTGGTCTGAGGTAATTAGTCTAATTGGTCCCCATTAATCGGTCTGATTGGCCTGGTTTAATCAAACCAGGTTACCCAGTCTGTTCAATTGAACTGGTTTGGGTAATCACTTAGATTGCTCTAGGTTAATTGATCTGATTGGTTGGGATTAATCTTGATTGGTTCATGTGGGATTAGGTCAGATGAGAATGGGTTTTCCTGACCCAATCCACATATGAGTCTGTGCTCACCCTCAGTCTTATATCTGCTGTTGAAACAGTCTGAGGTTCATGGGTTTTTGTTTCTTATCACTCCACTGTCATGTTGTGTGTTTCATCTCTGATCCTGTGACTGTGTTAAATACACAAACACAAACCTACTGTGTAGATTGGCCTGCACATTTCACAGGCTACAAACTTGTTTTTAGTTTAAAAAATTGCCTACAAATGTACATATTGTATGTATATATTGTATGTATATATTGTATGTATATATTGTATGTATATATTGTAGCTTGGCTGTGTAGAAAATAAACTCTTCAGTCATATTAAGTGTAATGTGTGTACAGCAGAGTATTTCCACACAGCAACACAATGTGAATATGTAGATAAAGGATTCCCTGTTTTGGTCTCTACCTCTTTATCTGAATAAGCTGGGATGTTTACYTTCCTTCATTTGAAMATTATTTGGAGATAAATTTACTCAAGTTTTCTACTGATATTAAAGAACCTGCTGTTCRTTTGTTCACCTGAACATGTTGGTCCAATTAAAGCCCTGATAGGTGGAAATGGTTCCTGCCTGTTTTATTACTGTGTGTGTGTGTGTGTGTGTGTGTGTGTGTGTG